AGCTATTATTTTTGTTATTGTTTGATTGTTGAAATTCCTGTATTATGTATTGGTGTATCTTACTTCTCTCATATGGGTGTTACATCTTTTGTAAGTAAAAAATATACATTATTTCATAATCATCTTTTTGTCTTTCTTTTCGTGTTGTCTGTTTGCCTGTCCTTCGTATCTCTAAACATCTGTCTGCTTGTCTACGTGTCTGTTTACCCCCCTCCCCCTTTTTCTTCTCCACCCCCCCCCCTTTTTTAAAAATTCCAATTTCTCTCCAGCTCTCGTCTATAATCGTGTCTCCTTATAAAATAAATTGTTGTAACAGCACACTAATAGTTGTTTATCTATAATATTTGTAGAGAAGGCGCATTATGTCTGTATGTTAGTTAATTTCTAGAACGCAAACAATATGTGTACGTTTGAGAAAAGGGTCCACATGTGCAATAGTTTGCTTTTTAAAAATAGTTTATTGTATTTGCTCATAAAGTGGCCTTTCCTGAAATTCAGACATTCCAAATTGCATTAAAGATAAGATCGTCACTTTTATTAGTGAGGGTGCGCAACTACAATTGTATAAAACATCTTTGAAATTTTGCGAATATTTAATCTTAAAAGCAATGCTTGTATCTCTTCCGAAAGAATGCCATTAAAAAAAAGTCTTATACAGCAACACTGATGTCACAGGCGAACAAACTCAATAAAACGAAAACAAGGAATTAAAAACAGAATAATCACACTGCCACTTATAATGCATAAATTATGAGTAAAAGTAGGTTCCCAACACTAAATGTTCATATTGGATTTAAGTGAAAAATCAATCCACATATACAATGTATATCATACGAACTTTTCGTTCTGAGCATTTAATTTGTTGCATGAGGATGGTTTTTGAGGAACTTAGGAATGTTGAAATTTTTTATATTTTTGTGTACATCGCAAAGTATGAAAAACACGATTTTTGGAGCAACATTATCTAAAGAAAGTTTTCTTTCTATCAACGTAAAAAAAAAAAAGAAACATTTGTAGAAAAATATGTGTATTTGATTGATTTGTTTGCCGTTATCTATTATATATTTGGCACCTTGGAAACACATGTGATACTTTTCCCATAAAATTACGAAAGCGACAGAGTTGAAAGTTGGCAAGTACCTGCAAAAAGATAGATAGGTCCCAATGACGGAGCCAGATTTTTTATTTATTCATTTCCTGATTTTAGAAAAATATATTTGACAAAAAGCTCCCGTCCTTCTTTGGCCTTTGTGGTTATCCTACTGGAAAACGAAACAAATCTGTGTAACTCTCCTTCACAACGGAAGTTCATCACCGTTCTTTAACGTTCGCCTAAGAAACACGATTCAAGAGACGGGGTTAGTAATTTTCGAGACTCACCTGTAGTGCGAGGAGACGTGATCCTGTGTAAGCATCCAAAGAGTTGTTTTTAATATAGGGCCCAAAGAGGAACACTTTTTTTTATTACTTCCTCCTCCGACCATGTTATTTTTAAAACAGACTTTCCCCCTCCCAACCGTCACTTTAACTGAGTAAAATTATAGTGTCTTACCGTAGTGTGCTATCATTTCAGCCCCTGTCACACTGAAGGCGTTTCCGTTCAAACCTGTAGTGTGTGTATGTGTGTGTGTGTGTTTGCGTGTGCGTCTGTGTGTTTGCGTGTGCGTGTGTGTGTGGTGAGGGAGGGTGAGGGGGGGGGGTGTAAGATGACTTGAAAGGTGAGTTTTACCTAAACTGGGTTATAATCTTAAAAATTGATATTTGCAATTTGTTGTTCCCTTGGTTGAACTTAATCTGCTTAAAAATTTGTTGAAATTGGCCCAAAGATTACCATTTTAATGCCCTTTAAATAGATCGATCCTTTTGAGGGGACGGGGCACTCTGTATTTGATTTGACATTCAAAATAATGATGTACTATTTTCCTTTACTTGAATGTGTCAGTGAGACATAATATGTGAGACACACTAAGCTGTACAGGTCACTGGCGCGATTAGAAATAAAGTATGTGGTTTTGAACAGAATGTTGGTATTACATATTGAATAAAAAATTCTGATGAATTTTATTGTAGAATGTAGACTGTAACTGTAAGAGATTATTCACCAGGGTCTAAGAGGTAAAGGTTAAGCTCTTCGCCGTATCTCTCAGATCATGAGAGTTTGATTCTCAAGTGGAGAAATCTATTTCAAAGTCATAGAGTATCTCTGTCTTTCTGCTGGGATGACGTGTCATAGAGTATCTCTGTCTTTTTGCTGGGATGGCGTGTCAAAGAGTATCTCTATCTTTCTGCTGGAATGACGTGTCATAGAATATCTCTTTCTTTCTGCTGGGATGGCATAACCTGTCCAACTCTACGCTGGCTCTCACAAGGAAGGTCGAAGCAGTCCTTCTTTCAAGTTGCCTGAATTGTACCAATTTGAGAGCCAAATGTTTATAATACGATAAAAAATTTTGCATACACCATCAGAAAACAGTCTTCTGTGAGGATGAATTTCAGTAACAGAGATAATCCACATCTTTCACCCTTGCTCAGTATTGTTACAGTGAGTTTAAAGTTATGGCTGTCTCTTTAGTAACCAGTCTGTGTTGAAAGTAGCGTCATCATACACACGAAAACAATAAATACAAAATGACCGTTCAAAACATAGAGCAGCAACAAGAAAGAGGAAAAAGTGCAAAGTTTATTGGTGAAGCCAAAATGGGGGTAATATCAAAGTGGTAAAGCGGTACGAAATACAGAACTTCTGGATCATTCAGGCTGGAAAAGTAGTGCATAGCACGTGTAGTCTGTGCTCTGTAGGCTCGAGCTATATAAGACAGAGGGG